TTGTAGACAACCCATGGTCACCATTCCTAGGGCCCAATTCTGCACTCAGTGTCCAGAGGCAGCCCCACCATGGACTGACAGAACGGCATTTCGATAGGACTTATTGATAGCATTTTAATTTGCATTCACATAGATTCTCTGAGAAAGAAAACACGGGAAATGACACAGAAGGGGGAGGAAAAGGATGCCTTCCCCCCACCCCAAAAAAACCTTTGTATTAATTGTTACCGGGTCTTTCTGTTCACTGTAGCTGCTGTTTCTCACTGCGGCTCTGAATTCGAGAGGCTGGGATTTTCAGGGGAAGTTCAGGACATTCGGCACCTAACTGGAATCCTGTTCTCTGGCCCACTAAGCCAGCCAGTCCCGCTAGAGGGGAAGGGCCCATATCTCATTCACCCGCCCCTCCATCCCAAGTCAGCTAGTCCTGCCACCTGGGAGCAGGATGGGAGCTGGTGCCCTTAGAGGGGAAAGGCCCTGCATCCCGTTTCCCACCTCTCTGAGCAAGCTGGTCCTGCTGCCCTGGGGCTGGATGGGAACCAGCGCCCCCAAGTGGGGAAAGGCTTTCAAATCCCTAACACTCTGACGACCCTGAATATCCCAGCCTTGTGTACCAAAATCCAGGCTCCATCTGATGACTGTGCTGGTCATGGGGCTTCAGGACAGTGTTAAATTAATTGTGGGCTTGGAATAGATCCTGTCTTCTAGCTCCCTCCCAATCTAAGCAGCATTAAAATCCTCAGTGCCTGGTGAGCGTGAGCTACATCGAACATGCTTGCTCTTTTGTCCAGCGGTTCGTTTCCCCCCTCATTTGATTCACAAGAAAACCACAGCGGGATTCTAAAAAAACCTCCTTTCCCAGCATTGCCCTGGTTTCATGATATTTGGTGCTTTCTTGTTAAAGCTCCTGCTCCTGGAGTCCTGGTATTATGAGAGAGACTCATGTAAGCCCAGTGTACACTCAGATTTTGCCCCTGGTAAAACTGTCAGTTACAGGCGTGATTGGTTGGCTTGTTTTAACTGCTCTATTCAGACCTGTACATGTCCTAGCGTGGAGGCAGTTAAAAGTATGATGGTGACTTACCCCAGTGTATTTATCCAGGAATATCTGTAGCAGTGTAAACATACCTAGCTCTCACACCACACTTGTCATTAGATCTGCCAAAGCACTGGGCTTGGGCCACCTGCTGGGATCATCCAGGCATGTCTCACCTCATCAATCCCTGCGTCACAGAGGCCTCGGGGACCCTCCATCTCTCCTGTTCTCTGTGTGGGGCTCAACAGTGGAGTTAAAACACAGTCCTCAGGAGACTAAAGTCATTGGACTCAACACAGGGGTATTTGGATGGAATTGAATGGCCTGCATTTCTAAAGGAGGTCAGGCTAGATGATCTAATGGTCTCAGCTGGCTTTAGACTCTATGAAACTAACTCAAAGCACTTTACAAAGCAGTTGGTATCACTAGCCACATTTTACAGATGGGGAAACTGAGGCCTGGAGCTCTGAAGTGACTTGCCCAAGGTCACCCAGCAGGCCAGGGGCAGAGATGGGAATAAAATCCAGATACCTGTCCACTGCTCGACCCACTAAGCCACAGCTCTTCTGTATAGACACGGGCTTGGTTAAACTAATGCGACTCGGTGTGGGGACGTGCTTGTATTGCTTCAAACTGGGTGCAGAGCTGCTTGGCTTGCTTCAGTAAATTTGCAGGTGCCAGCTAAACCAGTTGGAAACCAAAAACCAGTTTAAATGAAACCAGTGCAATCCGTGTGTGCATGTGTGTTTGTAGCAAGTGTGCTTTAATATTTCCAGCCTGTGGGTATAGGGAGAAGCTTGGAAACAACTGAAAACCCAGACAGTAGATTTAGGGGGGAAAGTGTGTGTTTCAAAAACAAACAACAAAACAAAAAGCATTTTTTTGTTTAAGCCAATAGCATGGTGATTTTTCAGCTGGCTCATGATTTTGGAACTCCTAGGGGCGGTGAGACTGATTTCCAGCCGCCTGATCCAATCCAAAATGTTGGCTGTATCCCTGGGAATTGTTTAGCTGTGAAGCGCCAAGTGAATTGGAATGGTGGGGTCACATACCAACGTGGTACTGATGGCAATTCTTAGATTTCTGAGACCGGAAGGGCCCATTGTGATCATCTGGTCTGACCTCCTGTATAGCACAGGCCACCCCTCAATTAATTCCTGTTTGAACTGAAGCAGATCTGTCAGCCCAATATCCAGTCTTGATTTCAAAAGTGCCAGTGATGGAGAATCCACTCCAACCCTTCATCAATTGTTCCTTGGAACTTGTTTGTCTGGCTTCAACGTCCAGCCGCTGGGTCATGTTAGACCTTTGCTGGATAGGCTGAAGAGCCCTCTATTCTCAAATTTCTGTTCCCCACGCAGGTACTTGGGGACTGTGACTGCATGAACCCCAGGCTGATGCACAATCAAGGTTGAAAATGGGGCAGAAGGAAAATTTTCCATCGAAAATATTTGTCCCTGGAAAGTTGGGATTTTGATTTAAAGAAAATATTTTGCAAAAAGCACCTGCTTCCCATGGGAAATGTCTGGGCATTTTTTGTATTGGTTTGGGTTTTTTGGTCAAAAATCAAAATATTTCAATTGGGAGATGCTGCTGCAATGCTTCATGGGAGTTTTGATTTGGATGCCCCATGTCCTTGTTTTTCCTCTATGGGCTGGTCTTTTCCAGACAGATGACGTTTCCAGTGAGGTACCCTTTCAAGAGGGAGGACAGCAGTGCATCATGGGAGACGTAGTCTGACCTGGGAGCCTGGCCTATAAAGGAGAATGGGAGCATGAGGTAACTGAAACGCAACTCCCACAAGACACAGCAGCAGCAGCAAAATGGTTTTTTGGGACAAAGTTTGGGTTTTGGCCGATGTCCTTCAACCTTTCCTGTAAAAATGATTTTTATCTATTTTCATCAAAATTTTGCAAGGCAAAACCCCGTGTCCTGACCCGTTCTGTTTACGGCGTTTGCTTTCCTGCAGCGACAACCATGGTGGAAATTTTGTAGAGGATGAGTCCAAACCCAGCGTATCTTGGGTACTGAAGGAGCTGTGTGTTGAATTAATGGAGACCCCGGCCCTACAGTCAGCTCTTAGTGGGGTGAACCGCTGCAGTAAATGGGGCTCTCTGGACACAGGTGCTGGAACAATCTGGATAGTGGGGGTGCTGAGCCATTAAACCTAACTGCAAACCCTGTATATAATGGAAACCACTTCAAGCCGGGGGGGCAGCCGCACCCCCTAGTTCCAGCACCTATGGCTCTGGAACCACGGCCCCAGACCTACTAACAGCCCCATCTGCAAAGGGTGGTCTTTTTGCTGGAACTGACTGCAGCTCGGAGCCGACAGCGCAGATACCCTCGTTTCAGGGGAGAGCCTGAAACGTTAGTCATTAAACTGGATTGAAGTTTGCAATCTCTGCACTTTTCCCAGCCTGGACTGCGCAGGAGGGCAGATGAGATGATCCTCAGTGGCCCTTGCAGTCTATTGACTAGGTTTGGGGTTTTGTTGTTGTTCCTGTGTAAGGGCCCTGATCTTGCAAACTACTCAGGTATGTGAGTAAATTATTTCTGTTCTGAGAGTGGCTGGCATTTCTGACTAAGACTGGGGAGCCTCCCCACACCCCTTGGGCCAGGTGCTGCACAGACACAGGGTGACAGTCCCTGCAAGAGCCTGGAGCCTGAATAGACAAAGCGCAGGAGAGGAAAAAGAGGCACAGAATGGCAAATTGAACTGCTCCAGTCAATGACAGAGCCGGGAACAGAACCCAGGAGTCCTGACACCCAGCCCGCCCTGCTCTACCTCAGATTCAGTAGTAGATTCAGCTCCCTGCCCAGAGCTGGGATAGAACCGACTCCCACTGCTTTCCCATAAAGTCATCCTGGTATTTCCAGGCAACAGGGGACAAAGCAAAACCACCTCACCAATCCCAGGGCCATTATTTTTTTGCAGCAGAACAAACTGAGAACATTTAAACCTCCCGACAGCAAGTTAAGTTTCCATTGGAAAAATAGGACCATCGGCCATTGTCTGTGCGTCAAGCCAGGAATTCTGTCTGTGGGTCCAGCTCCCTGGGGCAGTACCATTTCCATAGGAAATATCATACCATTTTACAGTGTGTTTGTTTAAAGGTGACTTGAAAAGAAGGTGCGGGAGGGGGAATTAATAAAATGAGGCATCTGCTCCTCTTTATGGCCTGTAAGTCTGGTTTGGTTATCTTGCTTTTTAAAAGGTATTTCCTCGTTTATTAGGAGCATTATGGTAGTACTTAGAACCCCCATTATACTGGGCCCTGTACACCTAGTGAGAGATGGTTCCTGCCCCCAAAGAGCTGAGTCTAAATAGACAAAGGGTGGGAGAGGAAACTGAGGCACAGAGAGGATTTGAGACTTGCTCAAGGTCAGAGGCAGAGCTGGGAATAGAGCCCAGAAGTCAGGACTCCCAGGGCCTGTCTACACTGCAATGTCAGTCCAGGGTTAGTGGAACTGGAGGTTGCAGATCCTGGGTTTGTTAACCTAGGGCTTGAGCATCTACACTCCTTTGTAACCCCAGGTTAGGAATTGTTGAACCCTGGGTCCCAACCTAGGGCTCCAGCATCTATGCTGCATTATGCAGGCCTGAGTCCAACGACCGTGTCCCACACTTCCTTGCGCCCTCCCAAAATGTGGCTGCTCTAGGCCTTGGGTCATGGTGCAGGGTGGGAAGCCTTGCCTGGCCAGAGGACAAAGAAAGTTGACCCATGGGATTGTGGGAGACTGTTGGCAGAGTCCCAGAGCTTGAGTCCAGTGGGGCTGCCTCTACACTGCAAAGCAATAGGGCTTGAACTCTCTACTCCTGTGGGGTCCTCTGACCCTCGGTTAGCGCAATTTGTGTGTAGACGGAAGGGGGGTTCAAGCCCTGGGCTTACATTGCAGTGTAGACACCATGGCCCACTCAGAGCTGGGGATAGAACCCAGGAATCCTGAGTCCCAGCCTCCTCTGACCACTAGACACCACTCCCCTCCCAGAGCTAGAAATAGGATCCAGGAGTCCTGACTTCCAGGCCAGTGCCCTACCCCTGGCCCATACTTCTGTTCACCTCTGCAGCCATGGAAGTTAAATCTTCCCATCCAAAGATCAGAGGCTGCTGGCTCTGGGGTGGTGTACTACCTCACATTAGAACATCACTTCTCTTCCTCCCTTTCCTTGGATCCCTGGGAAGCTGAAGGAGGATAAGGTGCCTAGAAAGGAAATCCATTTAATGCGGGGGGCTGTTCTCCCCAATCAGGCTGGTGTTGCTATCGCTTTCAGGGGGGTTGGTTTTGTTTGTTTTTGTTGAATGCCCTAGTGCTCAAACAATTGGGAGGGAAACTGTCAAAATTAAACTCCTCCTTTCTTTCTTCCCTGGATTTATTTCCTGCAGAAGTGCAGTTCTGTGGGCAAAAGTTTCCAAGCCCGACTCGGGAGTGTTGCAGTATTTGTGATTCCATTAGGATGACAGGAGCCTGACTCAAGCCCCCCTTCTGAAGAGGCCTGGCCCCTTTTGGGGTGGTGACTAGCAGGACAGCCTTGAAAGGGGGGCACCCCAGAATTGCCAGTGGAACATTTTTGGTTGAGGATCCTGCTGAGGGGGTGGTAATAGCAGTAACTAGTAATGTGGGCTCTTTCAGATCTTTATACGCCCATAAAGATGCACCCAGAAGAAAGAAAAGGGCAGGTCCCCAATTCGTCTCCCCCAGAACCAGCTCTCAGAGGCCATGGCAGAGAATAGGGGCATGAATCCAGTCCCTCTAGTGCCCCCCAGTAGGGAACTGGGGCATGACTCCAGCCCCCCAGTGCCCCAGCACTCAGGCACTGGGGGATTGGGCTGGAATCCTGCTCTCCAAGCATTGAGTTGGTGGGGTACAGGGCCACCAGCCCCTCCATGCTCCAGCGTTGGGAGGCCGCCGGGGGCAGTATGGGGAGTTGGGAGCTCACTGGCAGCACAGCCGCTCCACCTCCTCCTCGCAGCTGTAGAACTGCTGGAAGACCCCCTCGGCCGAGCCGTTGCACTCGAACCAGCGCCGCAGGGTCCCCAGGGCCTTCAGGGCATCGGCCTTGGTGGGCAGGCTGCCAAAAAGGTCCTCTCCCTCCCCCTCCTCCTCTTCCTCCTCCTTATAGGTCCCAGCTGGGGGCAGGGCTGGGGGACAGGCCAGCTCTGTCTCCACGTCAACAAAGCGCCGGAATTCTTCCAGGCTCATCCCCCTGGGGGGGGCATGGCTGGGGGGCCCCAGGGACCCCTTTCCCTTGGAGCAGCCGGCCTCCCCAAAGCACCGTTCCACCAGGGAGGGCTGGACTTTGTCCCAAGCGGCCGCCACCATGTGGAGGGCGTCCAGCACGGTGATGGAGGCGGCGATGGAGGCGGGGGAGCTGTTGGTCTCGCTGCCGATGGAGGACACTTTGCCCAGAAGCCTGCGCTTGTAGCGGGACTTGAAATCCCGGACGATATCAGGATGGAGCGGGCAAGGCGAGGGGCCGTCGTCATGGCGAGGCCGCGGGGGTAGGAAGACCAGGCGGATGTTGGCAGGCTCCGGATTGGGACAGCGCCGCTCAGCGTCCAGCACCAGCGCCACACTGCGGTGCTGCCGGCCCATCTCCCGGTCAAAGTCCGTCAGCCACTCTGAGAAGAGCTCCTGTGTCAGCTGACCATCGGCGCTGCTGCGGTAAAGGACCGGCAAAGCTTCCGTGTTGACCCCAAAGAAACATCGCGGAGCCAGCCGCCTGCCAATCACCACGGGCTTCCGCTTCTCTGTGCCGCTCCCGTTCACGCACAGCACCACGCACAGCCGCTCCCTGCCCTCCCGTTCCCTGCCCGGCATGGCCTTATACAGCAGCACCACCTCCCCGCAGCCAAAAACATTCTCCGGGGCAAAATCCTTCAGCAGCTGGGGCAGGCTGAGGGAAGCCGGCGCCGGCACCTTGTCGCACGGGGGCTCCGGGGCATGGACTGCTCGTGCCGGGTGCCGCTGGCCAAAGCAGACGTTGTTACGGCGCTTCCACCGCACCAGCCAGCCGATGCTAGGCACAAACTCTTGGCCCATGATGTCCGCGAGCTCCTTGGCTTTCTGGAGCAGCATGGGCCCCGTGACGTCCCACATCTTGGTGCGGGCGATGTGGAACCAGCACAGCAGGGCCTCGTCGATGCTGCTGTATTTGGACTCCCGCTTGCGCTTCCGCTCCCGGTTGGCCGTCCCGCTGCACCAGTCAGCCAGCAGCTTCTCCTTGTTCTTGCAGATGCGGGAGATCTGAGGCTGGGAGACTTGGAAGCGACGAGCCACCTCTGACTGGGACATCTTGGATTCATCCAGCATCTCCAGCACCTGGATCTTCTCTGCCAAGGAAAGAGCATGAAGTTTCTTCTTCCCGTTCAGCTCCATGGCAGCCCTGGAGTGGGAGGTGAAGGGATGTGCCAGGCACTGGGGGCTGGAATATCTAGAGGAGAAAGAAGAGACCCTCCCACCCAACCCCCCCAGAAAACCTTGGTCAGCCATTGGTGAGACAGAATCCAAGGGAAACTTAACAACCCTGGAGATAGAACCCAAGAGTCTGGACTCCCAGCTCCGGCCCCCCATCTCACTAAGTTCCATCCCCCTCCCAGAGCTGGGACTAGAGCCCTGGAGTCTTGGCTCCCAGAACCATGCTCAGTTCACTCAGCCACAACCACCTAAATGTAATTTTAATAAATATGGGAGACATTTCTGGGGAGACAGTCTCAGCTAGTTAAATGCCTAATTTGAAGGGAACCACCCAGCTCAAAATTGCCCCCAAATTTAGGTTGCTTAAAAATTCAGTTTGTCCAAATGACCGATCGTACGCTTCTAAGGGCAGGGCATGCAGCTCCTGGCACAACAGGTGCCTCTGATCTCAGTCAAGCGGGGGCTGGTGCAGAACCATGAGGCCTCATTCTCAGCTGGGGGTCTGTGTAGTGCCTGACACGAGGGGGCCCTGATCTCAGTAGGGGGAAGACGGAGGTGGCCAATGCCCTGCACAACAGGGCCCTGATTTCAGCTGGGACCCCTATGTGTTATCACTAACAGCACAGGTTTTCTGTTATAACATTTTATTTTAATGCCACCCTTTCTCCTACAGTGGACACAGCCCAAACAGTGCCTCCTTGGGGAAACTGACTGGAAACTGACATGTAATGGGGAAACTGACTACTACAGAAACCAGGCTCTGAATTCATAACCTGTAGATGTTTTTAAATAATAGGAGCAGCCCTCCTAGGTAAAACCAGTGGGCCCTTCTAGCCCAGCAGCCTGAATCTAACAGTCACCATCCCAGCCGCTTCACAGGAAAGTACCGGGACCCCTGCAGCTATAGGAGAACTTGCCCTACGAGGGGGAGGGGGAAGATTTTACTCCTGACCCCAATAGCTAGAGGTTGGCTTTATATCCCTTCCAGCTGTTAGAAATCCCAAGTGTGGGGAAAAGATGCCCCACAAACAGGCTTCATTTTAACACACACGCACCCGTATTTTTTTAAAGATCACCCCCCCCGCGCGCGCGCGCACACACACACACACACACACATTTAGCACGATGCCCCGGGGGGAGCGAAACCCCAGCGGGCGGGGGAAAGGCTAAACCTGGCATCAGCTGCCCGGGGGGCGAGGACAGCACAGCAGAGCCGCAGGCCTCGCACACAGTTACCGCCCCCGGGGGAAATCCCCGTGCAAGCGGCCTTTGCTCTGTACGTACCTAGGAGAGAGACTGGTCCCCTGGCTCTTCGGGGGCTACCTCAGGGGCCATCCCCGGCCTGGGGGGGTTGAGGGCTCCAGGTTTCCGGATCCTGCCCCCCCCCTTCTGAATCTTTAGTTTTCAGTCGGTAGCAGCAGCAGCGGCTCGGAGTAAAACCTGGCAGCTGGATCCCGGTGCTTTGGGAGCGCTAGAGGAACCCATCCGCCGGCTCAGCGGCCCAGGTTCCGGCGATCCAGGATCCGGGTTTATACGCTCCTGAGTACCCTGCCGCTCACACCTTGTCTAGGTCCAGAAAGGAATGTAAATGGGGCAGCAAAGAGAGGAATTATCGGTCATTTCCTCCCCCCTTGCAAGTGCCGAAAGTCCGGGGGCTGTAGCGGGAGCCTAGCGGGCTTCCACTTAGCCACTGGCGCGGCTGATGGGTCTTGGTTCTTCTCCCGTGGGGAAGGGGGTGGATTTCCCTGGCTAGCAGGACCTTGGATGTGAAAACCCTACAGCCAACAAGAGCAAGAGTTTTGTGTCAGATGGTTTGTTATCTCGTAAGGGGGCCTGGGGATACTGCTGGCGAATGGCCCAGACCTGAGCATGGCTTTACTTGAAGGAGATATGCTGCAGAGACTTTTTATTGTTGAGAGCCATGTATTTGTGGGTGCATAGTTATCCTCCAGTCATGGAACGACAGGGTGTTGTGTGGCAGAATCAGGACTCCTGGCTTCTCTTCCCGATTCCCAGCCCCCCGCACTAGAGCTTGGAACAGAACCCAGGAGTCCTGGCTGCCAGCCACCCCCATTCCCCTGCTCCAACCCAGGAGTTCCTCCTAGGGTGCAATGGGGGCGATATAAGTTAATCAATCAGCGAAGACTGTGAATGAGGAAGACTGCTAAAAATTGCCTTTAAAATGCATCTAAATCAGCTGGCTGCTAACTCAGTCCTGGCTGCATTGGCATCCCAGGGGCACACTAGAGAGGAACAGCAGGGTGCTGTAGTAAAGACCAGAGCATTGTTTTCATGTCATAAGCAATCTGTTGTTTCCTGTCCATCTTAGGACATCTCACTGTATTGGCTTTACATCCCCCTGATTAAATACAGATGGGGGACAGACCCTCAGTATCTCTGTGCCTATATCTACACTGCAGAGACCATATTGGCCTACCCCTGGAGTGTAGACACAGCCTAAACCGACAGAACGAAGTTTTCCTGCCAGTACAGGAACACCGCGTCCCCAAAGGAAGTTAGCAACATTGATGGAAGCCCTCTTCCATTGACACGGTAGCATCTACACTGGGGATTTGGTCTGCATCTCTGTCAGTCAGGCGTGGTTATGTCAATATCACTTTTCATTGTAGGCCATGGCACTACCAATTTTTCCTGGTATAATGATGTTGGATGAGGTGTGGGATATGTTTGTGACATTTTTATACTGGCATAAAAGTCTTTTTGCCTGTTAGAGCTTATTTTGCTCAGGGAACTGGTATAAGCTGTACCAGCAAAAGGACTCTTTTGGCCAGTATAAGTTACATTTCCTCTAGGCTGGGAGTGGCATCCCACTGAAAGACTTAAAACTATTTAGCCTCCCAAAGAGAACCGGGAAGAGGTTGTGGTCTATACTACTGTACTGACACGGGGGAGCAGCTCTCAGAGCAGAGAGCTCTGTAATGTAGCATGCACAGGCAGGAGATCTGCTGGCTGGGGGCAGAAGTGAGAGAAATTCAGAGGCAAATTTCTAACAAGTAACCATTGGAACATTTGACCTAGGGATGTGGTGGATTCGCTATTGCTTGGGGTCTGTAAATCACGATCCAGTGTCTCTGTTTAAAATACACACTCTAGCTCCACTGCCGGTTATGGGCCTGATGCAGGAATCAGTGGGTGACTTTTTTTTTTTTTTTTTTTTTTAATTTTAGAACAAAAAATAAATTTTTGTGGATTTTTACCAAATTTTTTGCAGTTTTCAGTGGCTTTTAGCTGAAATTTGTTCAGTTTTATTTTTGTTTTGATTTTCCCCCCAGAAAATGTGCTTTGATTTTTTTTTTTAATGGGAAAAATAGTTTTTCCCAACCCACAAAAGTGATTTTTTTTCAGTGTCTTTCAGCAAATTTTACAGTTCAAGGCAGCTCTTGGCAGAAAAATTTTACTTTTTTTAATAATTTTTTTTGGCCAAAATATGTACATTTTTCTGCCAAAAACTATTTGGGAGGTTTAATGTAATGGTTTTTGGTAGAACATTTTATGTGTGTTGGTGGTTTTCATAGAAAGTTTGAGGTTTTTTCCCCTTTTTTGACCATTTTTTCCCATTGTTCATGGTGGTGGTGTAGCCATGTTGGTCCCAAAATATTAAAGAGACAAGGTGGGTGAGGTCATCTCTTTTATTGGACCAACCTCTGTTGGTGAAAGAGACAAGCTTTCAGCTCTGTGTAAGCTGGAAGCTTCTCTCTCTCACCAACAGAGGTTGGTCCAATAAAAGAGATGACCTCACCCACCTTCTTTCTCTCAAAATTTCCATTGACATTTTTGACAAAACAATGCTTTGGTTTTGTCTTCATTTAAACTTTCCCCGGCGGGGGGCAAGGGCGTGAATGAATTTCCAATGAGCTCTGATGGCGTCTTTTCACCTTGCTGAGTTCTACACCAATGCCTTCTAGTAAAACCCACCTAGCTGCTCTGGCTGTCACAGGGTGGAGAGAAGCTGTGGGGGGTGGGGCATGGGAAGTGGAGTGTATAATTAGAACAGCACTGGGGCTGCTCTCATTCTGTTCTATGTAGAGTCATCACCATGGTATCTGGCACCTTCCAGTGGTCCACTGAGCAACATGACGCCACATCTGTCATGTAGGGTTTCTTCTCCCCACCTCTCCCAGGGGGAGAAGCACAAGCAGTGGAATGTCTTGTTTTGGTAGGTTTTTGAATATAGCTGTTGCTCTGTATTTGTATTAGCGAAGGCAGGGCAAGGAGATGCACCTTGCACTTGGAGCATAAGGCGGCAAGGTTTGGGATGGGCCTTAGCTCCTTGGGGAGCTCATTCTGCAGCCCCCAGAAAGATCTGTCTCCCCGCACAGATGAGCTTTACCCTTATTGTAGAGTGCCACTGGGCCAGAGGCACGGAGTGGGGGTCTCCATCCTGCAATTATAGGCAGCCTTCTTTTGGTACCTTGGGTGCAAGTCACGGAGCCTGCAGGACCCGGACCTTGAACTTGATTCAGCATTGTATGGGAAGCCAGTGCAGAGAGCAGAGGACAGGGCTGATGCGTTAACAGTAGCTGGCACTGCTGAGGAGATACACCACAGCTGACCACATCAGCTGGAGTTTCCTAAGAGCTGAAGGTGTCACACCCAGGTCACTGCAGTGCTGTGGTCGAGCTGAGCAATGCCCAGAGCTGAATAACTGGCCAGGTCATGGTTGGCCAGGCTGGGGCAGCATCTCTGAGCCAGCTGGAGATGGTAGAAAGCATTAGTCATGGAGTGGGCGCTGGTTCGGGGCAGGGCCTGACTCTGATGGGTGCCGGGTAATTTAAAAACACCTGGGGGCTGAACGATAAACCAGACCAGCAGCCATGTAGCTTTGCTTTCTCTGCCTGTGATCAGCAGAGTTCAGGACAGCTGCATCTTTGAGTCCCTCATTAATTTGTGTTTCACTAAAGCATTTTCCAGAGTCTGGCTCTGATGGAGAATCCACCCCTGTCCTTGGCAGGTTGTTCCAATTGTTAATCACCCTCCCTTTGAAAAATGTGTCCTGTATTTGAATGTGTCTGGCTTTCACTTCCAGCCTTCAGTTCTTAGTCTGCTTTTCCCCACTAGGTTAAAGAGCCCTTTAGGACCCGGGATTTTCTCCGCGGGAAGGTGCTTACATACCATGATCAACTCACTGCTTAATCTTCTTTGTGATTAAACTAAACAGATCGAGCTCCTTAAGTCTCTCGCTGTCAGGTCTTTTTTTCCACCCATCTTAGTGGCTCTTTTCTGCCCCCTCTCCAATTTAACCAACATCCTTCCTAAAACGTGGACCCCAGAACTGGACACACTATTCCAGTACTAGTCTCACCAATGTCCATCACCTCCCTGCTCCTTCTTGCTATGCCCTCTTTATGCCCTCTGAGGCCCCCTGCTGGAGGCCTCCTGGCCCTGCCACACCCTGCCCCAAAACAGAGCAATGGAAAGGGTCCTCCAAGCTGCCTAGAGTGACTGTGTGGGACACAGCCAATCAGGGCCCAGCAGCCTATTATAAGAAGAGCTGCAGGGCCAGAGGGAATTCAGTTCCTTGCTGGAGCTGTAAGAGTGTGTGTGGCTGGCAGCGTTGCAGAACCCTGGACAGGGCACCACTGCCAGAACCTGGGGAGAGCAAGAAAGTGCCCTGAGCTGGTTACCAGGTCTCCATTAGGACAAGGCCCTGAGGTAAAGGTGAAGATGCCGTGGGGAAGTGGCCCAGGGAATTAGAGAAGCCATACGTCATAGTTAAAGGGACACAGCAGACAGCTGTGATCTACAGGGTCCCTGGGCTGGGACCCAGAGTAGTGGGCAGGCCTGGGTCCCCCCCACCCTGTTAGCCACTGTGGGGAAATGGCCTGGACATTGAGGCACCCCAGAAGGGGAACTGAACTATAGTGGCCCAACTGGAGAGCTGTAGCCAGGAAGCCCCAAGAGGGTGAAGACATTATCCCTGCTCTAAGATAGAGCAGTGCCCCAGGGCTTCCTCCCTGGAGACAATCTGAGTGTGTGTGTGCAGGTGTGCACACTTGGCCAAGGGGGTGCTCACGAGAGGCACCCTGTTACATCATCCCAGGACTGGATCAGCCTGTGATGGGGTATCCACCTCACACTGGCCAGTAAGGGGTTAATAAAACCCTAGGGAGGCTGAGTGAAAAGCAGCCAATAGGAGAGGGGCTGTGAGGAGTGGCCACTCAGGGCCCATATAAGAAGAGTTGCAAGATGGACAGAGGAGAGCAGGGTGAGTAGCTGCCTGGAGCTGGAGGGAGGTTTGTATCTGGAGTAGGATGCAATGCTGTAGCACCTTGGACAGAGCAGTGCAGGCAGGACCCCAGGGAGAGGGGAAGGAGCTCCGGATGAGCTGCTGAGACTGAGGAGGTTGCTGTGACCCCAG